GGTAAAAAGTGTGTGTAGCGGTCGTCACACCTGACACTACATTTTCACATGAATACGTAGCCTACCAATTTACAAAGCCAGCTGAGTTTGCATTGCATGAAGTTCCACAATAAGCCCCTTGGACTTCCGGCACCCATGTGTGCTGCAGTTGGGTTAAGATTTTGTGGTAACACACTCAGGGGTCAGATAGCATTTCATGCAAATATCTGTAATGTTAATGTAATGTTAAAATAAAAAAGATGTTTTTTTATTTTTGAGGTAAAATATTAACAGCCCAAAATTAGCTCTTCATTAGCAGCTTCACTATTATACATTAGGCCTACTGTATATTGCTGGCTATATAGAAACACCACGCTGTATATTTCAGAATGTATAGCGAATGCGTGGGAGCCTCTCCACACTAAGACTCACGTCAGCCTGAGCTGAGCCCAAAGCTCCTTCAGCTGCACCCGGAGTATATCCTACTGTGACATTCTCCCTGTTATTAGCTGAAGCCACCCATGTCCACCCCACCACTACCCTGTATCGGATACTTCCTAAATGGAAAGAGAGACAGATTAATTTAATGGTGGTAGAGAGATATGGACAAAGTGAAATCGAGGAAGAGAGAGAGAAAATGAGCACACATTTGTCCTCGTGACAATGCTGATGCTGTCTCACTTGTGAGAGGCCCTGACGTGACACAAGGGACATGTGATTCTACATACATATGTTAACCAGTGTAAGAAGGCGCTCACACTTGTGTAGTGTGTGTATTGTGGGGGTCTGTATCATTTTATATTCATAAGGTTCAGGGTAGAGTGTTGAATTAGTGTTGGTCATAGGTTATAATAGGGTTTAAAGTTTGGATTTAGGGATGTAGAAATAAATCTGGAGGGTTTCAAAAACTTTACAAGTATTTAGGGTTAGGGTTTAGGATGTGGTTTAAGGTGTGTGTATCCCAAAAATGATGTTCATATACAGGTAATGTGCACTATCAAAAACATTTTTATTGTTTGTTACTGTTTACAGCATAATGAGTAAATATTTGTTTTAAAAAAAAATATCTGCACCCTGTTCACAACCAATGTAAAATGTTCACACAGGCATTATCTGCAAAATGTTTGGTGCCAATATATATATATTTTTTTTTTCCTACAATGTCAACTTAAGCATGATTCATGTTGCTATGCTTTTGTTTAGGCCACTCAAAGAACTTGATTAAGGTTTGGGAAAGATTGTGGTTTTGATCAAATATCGAAAAAATCAAGGCGGAAAGATGCATTGAAGCTAATGAAAATTGCTAAAGGGGGGCTCAAAGTGTCAGACTTTGAAAACCTTTGCTGCAAAACATACATGTGGTGACAACCCAAAACCGACTAAAAGAGTGGCGAAACAGCTAATACAGATGGTTCCACTGCTTCAATGAATGGTCTGTGAGCATGAAAATTATTAAAATCAAATGCTATAACCTTTGCAGTCACCTATGGGAGATTTAGAAAGTGTTAGACAGTGTTTTCCAACACCATCATTAAAACACCAAATGAGTTAATATCTTTTATAATAGTAAAAGTAGTAAAAATAGTAAAAGTTACAGTATAAAACTCTCCCTATCCCACATTCAGTAAATCCACAAGAGAAACATCTGTGTGTTAAAAGAGGCTTCAGCATGTATTGCATGTGAACTGTGTGCATGTCAATTTAAGTGCATACACAGTCCATACACCCCCACCTCCACCCACCCACCGCTCCACCCCCCAACATAAAGTCACACTGACCTCACGTTGAACCATCATCCATATGCTTGTCCATACCTCTGCACGAACAGTAGATATTATACTGTGTTAAATGTGGGCACCCTAGGGTGCAGGGGCCACAGTTTCTCCCTTACAAACTGGCGGTCAGGTGCCCTCGGGCCCTGCAAAGATGCTAGCTGACTTGACATCCACGTTGGAGCCACGTCTGTTCCACGCTCGCTCCCCGTCTGCCTGAATTAGCGCTTCACTACGGGCTGAAACAGCCAACTATCTGCCCAACCTTGGGGGAGGGCAGAGTAGAGGTCAGTATGCTCAAATGATTTTCCCCTTCTGCGGAGAGAGCAAGTATACCTAGCTTTAGGATATTTAATGACATGGAGGATTGTTTGTTTATTTGCATGATTTTCTCAATGTGTCCCGGCACCTCAAACGCTGAGATGTGGATTTTCATCGGTGCAAGTGATGAGATAAGCTGATGCCGACCAGCATATCACCATGGACAGACCTCCGAGGTTTTGCACTCTCACTGTAATGTATGTTCCAGGAAGGGTCTAAGCGTGCGTGTGTGTGTGTGTGTGTGTGTGTGTGTGTGTGTGTGTAGTCCAAAGGAGTTTGTGAAGGCTTTCCCTCTGAAGTGTCAAGAGAGAGGATCAAGTGCTAAGCTGGAGACTCAGGAGCTCAGTGCCTGGTGTGTATGTGTGTGTGTGTGTGTGTGTGTCCAGCATCACACGCGTGTGGTATTAGGTTGAGGAAGTGATATGTCCTTTTATCTGTTACTGTGGATGACCACAAGCCTGACCGGAGTCAGCAACGCAAGGCTAAATCCACACACTGAAACGATGGATTAGTGTGTGTGTGTATGTGTGTGCGTGTGTGTATGTGTGTGTGTGTGTGTGTGTGTGTGGTTGGATGAACAAAGGTGCATCAGAGAGCAGGGCCTTGGGGAAGCACAAAGTTGAAAGGTCAAACACACATGTGGAGGGTCAGTGAGCAGCCTGGCAAGCGGAACAGAAGCGTCATACGTGTGTGTGTGTGTGTGTGTGTGTGTGTGAGAGGCAAATGAAAAAGAATTAAAACATAAGAAATATTAAATTATGAAATCATACTGTGTGCGTGGACCAATTCTGTCTGTGTTGTATCCAACTTAGAGCTACTTTTATAGTAGATCCTTTTTCTCTCTATTAGTACTCACATTGGCCCACATGTCAGCTCATACTAATTTGTTTTTCAGTGTGTTTCTTAACTAACACCTCATGTAAAGTGTCATCAGGACTGTGCTGGAGTTATAATAATTTCTAACACAGATCACAATCATAAAACTTGTTTCTGGTTGGTTGTGGTCATTCTTTTTCACTCAAGAAAAATACTGAAAGTGAAACCAAAGATGCACTCAAAGTATTGCACACATTTTATTTACTGTGCTATTCCAACCCATTCACATTTTCACAACTTTTACTTTTTCATATTAAACATTTTCAGATCGGGCTGGACAATAACTTAATCATATTCATTTTACAAAAATGATGTTCCAAATTAATGAACATTTTTAAAAGTAATTTTATAAAACGAGAGAAAATAGGGAATTCCAGGCACTCGAGTATACTGTATGTTTAAACATAGACTTGAGTGCCTGGAATTGCAAAAAGCCAAAATATAGGCTAATAGAACAGTGGCTCTCCACCTATTTTGCTTGTGACCCCTACTTGCAAACCTTCGCCACATGTCTTTTTAGTTGTGAGCAGTTGAACCGAAGAGTGACATTCAATTTTGTTGAGGCATTAAGAATGTTAAAACTTAATCAATGTGGTATTTCACACGAAAGTTAATCTATCTTTATATTTGTTTTTCAGCAGTCATCTCATTACCCCTTGGATGGGTCTTGACCTGATTGGGCTAATACATTGTAAAAATACACCAATGCGTAAAGCTTTCTCCGGGTGTTGTAATGCTCAAATTAAACCAAATCAATAGCTGGTTTGGATGGTTTGGTTTTTGGTATATGATGATCAGGCCAAAATTAAAGTTTTTCCTAAAATTCTTTTTAATTCTTAGAAGGATTATACTAAATTTGGCTCTTCATTATGAAACTGCATTTCTCTTTCTGTGAAAAAACAAACACGTAACACAACATATTTTCTCAAATGACACAAATTCCAACAAATTAATGTTCTTTATTCTGGTGTTGAACAGGGCAGTTTGAGAGTTTGTTCAAGTTCAATTTTGTAATTGCCACAGCAGGGTGGTGGATTGCTTTCACAACCTCTTCTAAAGAAACACACCCTCCCACACAATTGTTGGGTGGTGTTGGACTTGATGCGGGGTCTCCCTGGGAAGAACTGCCTCTGATATTTTTTTCCCTCCAGCTGATAATAGTAGGAACAATATGATGGTGCTCATAAGTATGCCAAGGCACTGGTAACGCCTACAGAGCAAACAAAACACCAATGAACTTTAATTGTCATCTGCATTCCAGTTAGGTTTATTGTTACTAATTTAAAGAAAATAGGAATATTTACATGTACATTTTAATTGCTGTTTTGAATTAAAATGTCACCAATTATGTCCTGGGTCACTTTGACACGGTGGTTACCGAGTGTGAACACTACACTGCACCACGCTATCCAAGGGTTAATCATCATATTTGATAATTGCTCAGGACGTGGTTCTATCTAAGCATTTAGTTGTATTTTTATTACCCTGAAAAATCATTTTACAGAACAAAATCATCAGTCGCAGCTCTGTATTACAGACTTTAAAAGCATGTGAAAACATTTGTGTTTACACTGCTAATATTGGTCATATAAATAGGTACTTCATTAGTAACTGTGGCCATGTGGACACCATGGCTAAACCTTTTATAATTACTGGATTAAACATCTCTCTATCTTTTCTCTGTTTATAAAACACATCAAGCTCATCCTGTCATCCCACGCAGTAGCGACAGAAGCATGACTTTCATTTACACAAAGGCAATCCTTTCTGCAGGAAATAAGGATGTACAGTCGATGTGATTTTACCACTCCGAACGTATTATACCGTGGTTTATGTGGTTGTAGCGGGAGGCGGTGCACGTCAGGGGGGCAAAGCTACCTGACAACGCAGGGAGAAATGTGTTAAAAGGCAAACCGTGTTTGTCGTGTTTTCACTGCTACGATCTAAACTACAAGAGTCGGTGTTACTGCGGGGACAAAAGGACAACCCGCGTTGGTACTTCGTGGCCACAATCTCATCTCTCGCTCTCTCTGCTTCTTCTTTGTTTTGCAGGCCGGTGCTGGCATCTGCAAGATCATTCGTTACGATCCAGTGCATTTGAACTCAACTAGAACCAACAATCTACCTGGGTATGAGAGACCATATGCACACACACACACTTAGGTGCTAAGCATCACACTCATCTGTTAAACGGAGTGAACACGTCACTCTTTACTAAGTAGAAGTTTCACTCATCTCTCGTCCCTCGCTCTCCCATCTGTCCATGTCATCCCTCAGCACTCACCCATCAGTTAGTCTAACACACACACACAGACACACACACCTTTCTCCACATCAGCCATCAGTTTGTCCGACAGACACATAAAGGAACATATTCACATTCACACACAGAGCAACTCCTTTACATCACACATCAGATCACCCCAGATTCAGTCACACACACACACACACACGCACACACACACACACACACACACACACACACACGCACACACACACACACAACCGATCGCACATCAGTTTTATCTTTTATGCTAAAGTAGAGAGGGGGTGTTGCAGCGGGAGGGGTTGACAGGAGGGAAGAGGAAGTACACAGGAAGTACATTAGTTATCACTCCCATGTCTTCTCCACCTTTTCACTTCTTATCACCACTCGATGTCTCAGACCCCAGCTGAGCTGCCTCTCCTTCTCATCCCACCCCTTTCCTTTTCTCTTTCTGTCTCTCTTTCTTACACACACACCTCTAAAAATGACTTCCGTGCTCCACTTTAGTGTCGGGCCCTGGGATCTAGATGACATTTGGCAAGCTGCAGAAGCCGCGAGACAACTGGATGAAATATTTAAATGAAAGACGGCAGGGGTAGAAGAGGTGAAGAACAGAAGGGGGAAAAGAGGGAGAGAAAGGAATACAGGACAGAGGGCGAGGGAAGGAGAGAGTGACGATATTCAGATGGTGAGCAGAATGTGAAGGATTTCTTTTCTTGGCAAAGAGACAGCCATGTGACAAGAAGTGCAAATGAATTGGCTTTCACCTACAAAGTATCCTGACTAAAAATCAACCTCTGTAGTATGAGATCACATCTTTTTGTCTTGGAATCATCAGCAAGTCTCAGTATGTTTTATAGTACTTTGAGCACTGTGCCAGCTCAGCTGCTTGGAGTGGGGCTATGAATCTAAAACATAAACAAATTAAATGTAACTTTGTTACATTGTGACCTTAGAATTATAAGGTTCTATTGGACTTCTATCAGACTAAATGCTGTATGCTAATGCTAGCATGGCAACATGCTCAATGACAATGATAAGCTGATGTTTAGTGGGTTTAATGTTTACTTTATTTATAATCTTAGTTTAATGTGTTGGCATGCTAACACCGCTTTGCTTATTTGAATTTACATCCAGCACTCTTGACAGTTACACAACTCATTATAATGTTTGTTTGCAAGAGTCCCTCTTTATGTTAGTAACTAAATGTATAGCTAAGTACAGATCTTTAAAATGCAGATACAGGTGTATCCTAAAAATGCGAAAATCGTGGAAAAGTTCATTTAAACAGCACTGAACCAGACTGAAAGATTAAAGGCTAAGGAAACTTTGGCAGGTGTTTTGCTTTAATTAGCTGATTAGATTTATTCTCAGGTCGACATTTCTGTGTTACAAATTCTTTATTCTAAAATTCTATAATATTTTGATTATTACAAGTTTTGATTCCCACGTGCTGTAAGCTGTAGTCATCAAGCTTAAAACAAAAAAGGCATGAAACATTTCACTTTATGAGTAATGAATCTAGAATATATGAAAGGTTCACTTTTAGAATTAAATTACAGAAACAATTAAACTTTTCCATGATATTAAATTTTTTTTAGATGAACCAATACATGAAGGTTTCTAGCAAAATAATTGCTAAAACATTTTAGTGATCTGATGCCAACTCTAAAGTGCTGCAAACAGTATGTGTGGCTGCTTATAACTTATCTACTACTGCAGACTCAAAATGATAACTACATTCAGACAGCCTTGGGTTATCAAGGTTATCCAGGCAAAAATGTAGATGCTAATTTGTGAGCAGAAAAAGACACACACATGTAAAACAATAGTGAAAGACTAATTCTCTGGAACCTCTCAGTTCATTTCCGATTTCAACGGGTGCAGACCAAAATGCCTCCGGACACAACTGGATAGACATACAAAGAATTAGAGCAATGAAAGTCGTGATGTAACATAGTAGATAAATTAAACTTGCCAAATAGAAAGAGAAATGTATAGATGTATAGAAAATATAATACTGATGTGATAGTGGATTCAACAGAAATAGTTCTACATCAGCGGCAGCCATCTTGGTTATTTACGAAAATACCTCAACAGCCAATAAGGTTGCGCTCCTCTCTACAGTCATTATATCAAACCGATCCCGCATTCACTTTTTTGCATAGTTTTTTAATCCATTATTATTTATTTATTTAAAATGTGTAGCTGTGTATGTGCTAACATGCCTCAAATCAATGGTGCATCAAATATTAAAACCAAGTAAGATTATATTTATAATTATTGCTTTACAATTCCAAACAGAAAATTAGTTATTGTATTAGGAGGTTCCATTTAAAATGGGGTTGGGATTTATTATTATTATTTATATATTTCCTTTAGGGTGCCTGTCTAGTAAAACCTTTCTGCATGTCATTTTTACCATTTAAGAAGGGAAAATCTCAATATCTGGATCACAAATAGAACATCATAATTATGTTTGATTTCCTCTCCCACTCAAGACAAATACTTTTAAGTGTGTACATACATATCTGTGTTTATTCAATTTGTCCAGTTGTTGAATTCTTTAATAATTTTCTTACCCAGTTGTGCGTGCAGAACTGCATGATGGATGTGCAATTTCATATTTAAAATCCATACATGTGTGTTTTTTCACTGTGTGTGTGTGTGTGTGTGTGTGTGTGTAGGCCTTTGTGCATATTCTGTATGTATATAATTTTACTGTACAACTATAAACATGCACGTATGGGTTTGTGTTTGCAGTATAAGTTATACCCCTTTGTGCTGCATTGCTGACTTGTATGGTTCTTATCACTGTTAAGTCTTGTTCTTACAGAACTGAACATCAGGCCTGTCTGTCAAAGAAATGAGGGAGTTTGTTAGCTTGTATAGGTAACAAACATAAATGTGCAGCAAAGAAGTGAATACAATTTCACTGTGTCCTGCAGTTTTATGAATTGGAAAAAAGTCAATAAAAAATGACGATTTTATATGCAAGTGTGTTATCTGTATTTTACACGCAGCAATATGCATTATAGTTCTTTTCCCTTGTGTGCAGAGATGTTGTTGTCGTTTTTTTCAGAAACTGCTCACAGTTTTGTTACCATCAAAACACCATGAATCATATATTTATAATGATGATGCCTTAAATAAATTGTAAAATGCATGTAAAACATTAAAAAAATGTGTAGCACATCCTTACATCACAAAAATCAAAGCTTGTCAGCTTCAGTTCATGCTGAGTAAGGTAAAATACACACGCACAAGCAAACTGGAGGGGAAAAAAGTGGCAACATGTATGTGTTTTACATTCATACCAGCAGTTTCCGGTTTATTTTAGGAAAAAGAGAGAAAGAGAAAAAAAATCATGTTCTTCATTTTTCACCAGAACAGATTCTGCACGCAGCAATGTAAATGCTAACGTATTGTCATCCAGTAGTTCAGAGTAAAGTATTACTTCAAATAAACATTCTGTTTCCCAGTGCCGGGCTTGGTGAGTAAATGGAACGGAGAATGAACAGAGGGGTTTTCTCCCCGACTGATTGGGTGCAGATGTGAGCCCTAGTCTGGGTTTGGTTAAAGTCCCGCTGCCAGGAATATTTGCTACAATTCAATAAATAGAGCTGTTAGGAGCAAGGCATTTCCTTGTCACCACGTCAAGGTTTCAGAACGGATGTTTCATATTGGGTGTTTTCACTTTGCCTATAGTGTATCTAATGCTCAGCCTATACACTCAGCTCACTTTAAAACACCGTAACTCAGAAATGCTGCAATTGAAAAGCGGCTGGGGCAGATTAAAAGATGAATTTGAACTTGGATTTACAGATAAATATGTGGATTAGAGTTCAACTATTATGGGTTTGTGAAGGGTGAAACAGAAGACAAAAGTGACTGACAGGTTTAACCTATGTTAATAATAAAAACTTCTTATTTTGATGTTGAAACAACAAAACAGATGTGACATGTCAAGAAAGCAATGAATACATACAGCACATCAAGCCAAGGATTTAAAAGCATGCAGCAACATGATACTGAGAAATGCATGCATAGCATTTTTAACAGACAAGGAGTTTGCACGAAGAATACATTTTGTTGGGTCCATTATTATTTTAATGCAAAAACATTTCTCAACCTCTGATCAAACAGAAGGCCGTTTTTGGCACCTCTGGCATACTGCAGAATACAAATCATCCGATTTATTTCAGGGCATGAATACAATTTATTAATTATATTACAGGATGTTATGTTTCATGTCATTTATCAGGTTTTTTGGCATCATACAAAACTATACCATGTCTGGTCATCTAGGTGAGTGCCTAGATGTTTTATATATATGTTTAATATTCATTATGGTTGTGTCATTCCTAAGTGGTTGTTTATATAGTTCATGCATTCATATAAGGATTATCAAGAGCATTCATCTTTCTGCCACATATAACTAAATGGAGTTGAGCTTAAATAATTCCTAATTTGAAGGTAAAAAAAAGGTATGTTTGTGGAATATAAAACTGTTCATGTGAAACATGAAACTTTTTGGATTTATATATATTTGTAATACCAGCAGCTTTCCAAACTCTACAAACCCTACATCTGCACACATACAATATATTCAAATCAGGATTATTGGAATTAGGTGCAACAAAGGAATGTTATCTTATTCCAAAATTTATTGATGCAATTCAACCACTTGCAAATGTTTTTAACTTTAAACTGTTTTTTTGTCTTGTTTGTATTTTGCTCGCAGGTTTAACTTCTCTCTAAAATCTAAGATGACTCACTACATCAACTCAATGGCAATTCTGTATTTTGTAAATGGAAAAAAAACAATTGCAAAGAAAGTCAGCAAAGGAAATGAAATGCTGCACGTTTAGTGGAGTATTTAACGGCGACTACATCACCCGTATCAGCACACATACACATTCAGCACACTCACATCCTCATCTCCTCCATTGCTCCTTCACAGCTCCCTTTCACTAATGTACCTTTGCTTTTCCTCTCCTCTCCTCCCCCCTCCTCCCCTGTGCCCATCTGCAAAGCGATCAAATCATCGTATGAAGAAATCCTGGTGATCCAAGAGGGCCAGGCAGAAAGGTCACGGAGAGAGTCCGTAAAATGGATGAAGCCTAATGATTAGCTCAACCTTTACCTAATCAATAATCATTTATCCAACAATATCACCGGCAGCCATAGCCCCTTTTGCCATTAACCTCAGCGGTGAGGAGAGAGGCAGTATTGTTTCCTCTGGCAGCTTTACGGCACTCAGATGAGTGGTAGGGGCCGAGATGGAAGCTTAAGGTTGGATCTCGATGGCTCAGATCCTATTAAGGGACGTAGGTATTTTAGCATAGCAGTGTCACATTATTACCCTTTTCAATGATTGACTATGACACCGGCTGTTGAAATGGTAGAAAAGACAGCCTTTTTATTAAATTAAAATTATTGTGATAATTGATATATGTGCTTTTGAAATTGTATAAAAATACCACATTCCAAAAAGTCTTATATAATACTGTCAAAACTAACTTTAAACCAGAAAGGAGCTCCATTTTGCTTCTTTGCTGCAGTTTTAAGAAAATGAATAAAATCTGAATCTGCTTTTATGGCTTTTTACAGCAACACTGAAAAACCTGCTACCTATTCTGTGACATGGAGAACATCTCTCCACACACTCCCTCTTTCTTACTCAAACACACACACACACACACACACACACGCCGCGGCAGCAGCAGCGCTTGTCTCCTCTGTGTCTCTCCATGATGCCATCCTCATCATAACCTCTCCCTTTTTATTGCCTTTAATGACTCCCCCCTCTCCTTTCATTAATTCTTTATCGATTCTTCCTGACGTTGCCTGAATTATTTTCCAATTATAGCAAATAAAAGAAAAGGAAAATCCATTGCAAATACATGCCTGCATGTGTGTGGTTATGTACCTACACCAACATTTAAGCAACTGCACACTTACAGAACAGAGTGGTTATTTTTGAAGCATTGGTACAGTTTAGTGTACGGACTTCTTAGAATTTTCTATTGCAGCCAAACACACTTCCACAAACACACACACACACACGCACGCAAAGATGAGGCAGCATGTGAATGTGACGGCAGAGAAAGAGTGGTAAAAGGTCACAGGAAGCTAATGGCTCCAGCTATCTTACACGGAATAAGTTCAGACACTCTGGACAGGTTTGTGTGTGTGTCACAGAGGAGTAGGGGCCAGACGTGAGCAGAAAACAACACACGGGCAGACTCACACACATAATAAAGCCCCATAATTCACTAGGGCACACACAGATACATATTGTGTAACTACAGCATCTTTTAATATGCTGTTTTGAGAGCATGAATGATGCTACCAGATACCAGATAGATTCAGTCGCAGAATTAGCCTCAGAGGTCCATCAGATGGCTCCAGTTAATACCCACAGGTCATTAATTACAACAATTATTCACCTTCATATCGCAGACACATATCGACTCTTGTTTTTACTTCTTGGCCTGGGTTGTCCGATGATGCACCCAAAAGGCTAAATGGGAAAAATAACGCGAGTGTGCTACGCATATGCATGTTTTTGTGAATGTATTGAGGATGGAAATAGATTTTTACCTGATTGGAATTCTTGAATTGTTTATTATGTCCTTTTAGTGCGCTGGCCCCTCTGTTGTCCAATTAGATCATATTACTCTGAGGCAGTGTCGGAGAAAGTGATGGTTAATGATGTAAAACATGATTCAGATTAGCTTGATACAGACGCACAACGCACATATGTGCATGTGGAGGTATTTCATATTTGTCTCATGACTTAGAAATGAGCAGCAAGAGGAAATTAAATTAACTTCTGTCATGCACTTACCTGAGAAGTGTTTTGTTGTTCTGTTGTTTCCTGTTTTTGTAAATGAGAGCCATGTGTTATCTGCTTTGTGTACACTGTGCGTCTGTGTGCATGTACAGCACGGTTTGTTCTAACCTCTTAGTCCAAAGTGCCTGTATGCTTTTATTTACTGTATGTCCAACCACTGTGCACAACTGCCTTTGCAAGTGTGTGCTAAGTGTGTATTTGTGCGTGTGTGTGCGTGTGTGTTCTGACCTCTCCTGCCCTCTCTCTTCCATCCCTCCTTTGAGAGTGTGTGTGATATACAGAGCTCTAATTGTCAGGTCTGGCCCCCACATTCCTCGCCTCGGCCAGCCTACCAACACTGTGTCACTTTAACAACCGCAAATTATCACCGAGATCTTGGCTTCACAGTGGCTCTATGAGAATATAGATACATTTCCTTCAATAAATTGCCAACCACTAGCACTGCACGACCACGCACTCACACAACTCACTACCTGTCCACAACCCCCTCCTCCCCTCCTCCCTCACATTCACTGCTCTCTGACTGATGTTTTTACCACAACATTATTGCGTCTGCCTCAGGACGGGAGAGCCGTCGCTGCACCAAATGTAGCCAACGTGTTCACCTTAAAGGGGGTGAGATGAATGTAGCCCCTCTGTGTCATTTGACCAGGGTTATTGATTCCCACAGAGCTGAGCGGGATCAGAGCAGGTTTCCCATAAAGTCGGCGGCGACGGTGACAGCAGACAGGAGAAGAGGACAGGGCATAAAGAGTACGACAATACGTATACATGTCTGGTGACTGGGGATTGTTTCTTTTAATGACATCTGTTCTTACTTAATCTCTGTTCAGGCTACAAACTGCTTCATCTTGCACAAACGTATCAGATCCTTTTTTTTTTAGTTGGAGTGTATCCAAAGAGGATGTGTTTCACGCACTGCCTTTATGACTTTTCTGGCTGTGAAATAAAAATTTCTGTTGAGACAATAAAGTTTGAGTGATCCACCATCCAGAATACTGCAACTGATATCCTTAGTTTCACTTTAAAAAACCTTAAAAGCGAAGTATGTACAAATGATCATTATCAAAGTCATTATCAAACTGGACCATTAGATCCCAGCCTGCCTGCCATGTGGTTCATTTTTATATCAG